AGCCAGCCAAGCTGGCTGGGGAATTCTGGGAGTTGAAGTCCACTCATCTTAAAGTGGCCAAGTTTGGACAACACTGGACTACACCAATAGATTTTCTCCATGAGATATAAACAACCAATGGACTATCTTGTGTAAATGTTGCTTTCATATAGCAAAGGCTCAGAACTCTAAAACTTTCTTTCTCTGACCTTTTAGACATCATTCTTCTGCAAAGCATTTATTTAATGCAACAAGAATTTGGTCTACTGGTTACCTCCTGGAATTGCAACTGCGACATTTCTTCTCATGTATCTGGTTACGTCCCCTTGCTCCACTAGATTTTTATCCTTCACATACATTTTCTCTTTAAACTTGAACCTATCTTTCCTGTTCTGCCCACATAACATTCAAAAGCAGTTTTAGTGTACCTGTGGCTTTTACGGATGACGATGGAAGAAAATATAACAAGCACAAATCCCCTGAACCCTACAGTTGCATATAATTTTACTTCAATAGGATAAATTTACCTGTCTGGAATTAAGTGTATGGAGCTTAATACCTGTTATATTTTAATACCAAATTCAGTCCCTCTAATTAAAAGAAGCTAGAGGTTTTATCACTCAGGTATCCTCATTCTTTAGCTATGGCTTCCCTAAATATACACATGAAGTTTGCTCTCACATTTGCCCTCACATAATTCACATTATGAATTCAACCTAAATGTCTTTTGTACCTATGCTACTCACAGGTGAGTATCAGTAATGGAGATGAACTTTTGTTCACTAAAACTATTAACTTAAAAAAAAATCTTAATCTTCAAATTAGCAGGGTTTGAAGGTGAGGTAGAGAACAGAGAATCAGAGAACATAATTCTAACTAAGCAAGGGTGATAATTTTTAAAGTAATGCAGAAAATTACTTCATATAAAACATTTTAATTGAAACTATGTGGAAAAGAGTTCCCTTCCTAATCTATCCATTTTCAGGATGACTCATCCGTTTCCATTTACATGAGTTGAACAGATTCATGCTTTTTGAGAATGATTGCAAAAGTCAATTAACTTTCTCAGAATCTGAATCACTGCTGTCAGTCATTTAGCTTATTTCCCCTCATCCGTCCCCCAAACTGGCGAAAGAAGATACTTCCCCATTGCCCTGTTTTAAGAATGGGCATGGAGAACAAAAAGGTTAAGCGAAAAATGCAGCAATGGTCATTAGAAGCTGTTCTCTCCATCAGCCAAGGAGGAATTCTATGACCAAAATTAATTCTCTGGAGTGATGTCTGTGTATCCGTCTATGGGAATGCATATGGCTATATATGTACATGTGAGGGTGTGCGATTTGGGAGATATAACAGTTCAGGTTTTTTAAAAAAATCAAGGACTCAACACCAAAGATATAAACAAAAGGAAGACAAAAAACAGAGCTCACCTCTTGCACAAACGAAACAAAAGCCTACATTTACAGCTGATGAAGAGTGATTGCTCCTTTTGGAATGGTTACTACAGATGAGGATGTGGGATGACACAAACAAGCTTCCTGCAGCAATACAGCCATCTCCTGAGTGATAGGCAATGGGGCATCTCAAACATCTCACCATGCGACCTGTTTAATATAAAATGCACCAGATAACAGTCTGTTTAGAACACAATTACAGACTTCCAAACCTCAATGAAGTTTGGCTTTAGCTTAATATATCCAATAAAAGATTAATGTATCCAATCAAAGGTGTTACAATTTTCAAAATGGAAGGACAGTTTTGTATCCTTAATGGTGCAACTCCTCCTGGATTCCAGAGAGAGCACACTCTTGGAGAGTCATGTATATGTATTGGGATTATTCCACAGAACTGCAGAGAAGGTTCAGAAGATGCTATCCAGCATAGAAGCCAGTTTTCTATTTTTTAAAGAAAAAAAAAAGCAATGAAAAAGAAAGAAAGAGAAAAAAACCCCTTAACCCCAGTAACAGTGAAAACATGCTCAGATCATATTGGCAAAGCCTACTTGGTACTCAAAGACTATTAGTCCCTCCTTTCCCCCCAGAGGTTATTAGTGGAGCAAATTCATTGTCTTGCATGCCTTTAATCTTCCTAATGACTGGGAAAATCACAATGAATTATGCAAAAGAGCTTTGAAAATGAAAAATGGTGAATTTTTACAGATTTGAAACATACGGCAGAAACACAACATAGGGCCGAAACACACCAGTAAAACCCTACTACCTTCTGAAGAACAAGCTACTGAAGCACAAGATAAACTTCTCAAAAAAGGAATAGCCAGTTTGTACTTGGCTAAAGGAGGAGGAAGCTGCCTGGGCTGTAAGACACCCAAGACTCATTGACAAAAACAGGGAACAATGAATACCTCCAGTATTTTCCATAGAATTGCTTTTATGGTCATGCCAAAAACAAAGTTTCCTACTCTCTCCACTGCAAGAAAACCCATCACCTCAAACAAGCTTTACTTGGTTAGCCTAACATATCTGAAACAGATATGTTGTTTGCACCCTCACAATTTAAGAGAATGCAACTGGACCAAAATCTGAGAGCCCAGTTTCATTTCTGAGAATTCTAAGCACATATTTCTTCTGCTGTTAATTAATCTCAAGAGTGTTCTAGTCAATGTGAGCCTCATTCAGTAAAGGTTTCTAGGAAGCTTCAGTGTTTCTGAAGCAAATGTCTGATATGTGCTTTAGGAAGCCACTAGCTTTCTGCAAGTGAAATACCCGCATTTCTGCACATTTCAAGCCACCAATTTTTTTTTTTTTTAAAGAGATAGTATCTGTAAGAAGCACAGTATGACATGGTCTGATGTTACACACATCTTCATTCCCTTTCTATTACACAATTTCTTTATAAGATCTGTCAGAATGATATATACAAGCCATCTTCCCTTAAGCTCTCAGAGCAGAGAGCTACGAATGTTATATATAGTCCCTCCCTCCCCCCACCCTCTCTGTCTCTCTCACACACACATCTATCTATCTATGGAGAGAGAGAGCGAGAGAGAAAAGATAGTCATCTAAAGTGTAAAGGTCTGTGAATTCAGTTCTGGGTAGAGGGTTTGAACCCCACAGAATAACATCTGGCTACCCACATCTGATGAGTCCCAAATAGGATGAAATTAGTCACACATCGCCTTCTGGTGGAAAAGAATGGAAGACGTTTGGCTTTGCTTTTTGGTTGCCATGATTTTTTTCATGACAAACCGCAGCAAAATAGAACCAAAATCTTTAGGGCAATGAATTTCCATTCCTTGCAGTGAGCAAAGAAAGTAGATGCATTTTTACACATATATGCGCATATGTACACATACTTGCAATATGGTAAGAAACTAAGACAATACACACCCACTCCCTAACTAATTCAGAATGGATTTTCATTTAGATTGATATGAAGGCCTCCATTCTTTTCTCTGCTGTACAGAAGGTGTCTCACCTTAATATAAACTAAGAAGTTCTGTTTTGTCAAGGTCTGTTGGTTCCTGGCAAACAGTTCTCCCAACACAAGATAATTGCAGGAACGTGAAGCCTTTTATTCTCCATAAAACTGTGGGAGAATAGCAGTCATAACAGAGAAGCTTCAGACCTGCGTGTTGTCTCAACCTTTCAGGCTGACAGGGTATGCCCCCGTTTAAAGACAACTGAGAACAAACTGCATCTTCCACCTAGATGGCTGCTGTTTCTGCAGTCTCCTTTCCCAGCTCTTAGCAATAATTCCACTACAAAGATAAGCAATGTATACAGAAAGTATTTGGAGCTTTCATTATAATGCCTCACAATATGAATTATCCTGCTCTTTTCTTACCTTTACTTGCTTTATGAATATCTTTGTCCATAGAGCACGCGGTGCAGCAATGCTGAGGGCAACGGAATCCCCGGGATTCAAAAACGGCTGTAGCAAACTTGCGGACACAGGCTTCATGGTAAAATTTGCCACACGTGTTGACAGAGCAGCGTTTCACATCTTTGCCAGGACGTTTGCAGGAAAAACATATATGCTGCCCTTTGAAAAGGAGAAATGTCAAGGTTCAGCTGGAATACAATGGAATTCTTTTAGCCTGGGAACCTGAATGGCTGTTGGCATACTATTACGGGGCAAGAACCGAGCAAAAATCCTTCCATATCCGGCAAGTAGAGGTCAACCTCTTCCTTGTGTCAGAAGGCAGTCAGAAAGAGGATCTTTCTGAGATCCTAATCTCAGAAAGATTCTAACATTCCAACTGAGTAATAATAATAATAATAATTTATTACACTTGTATGCCATGCGATTCTCAATGACTCTGGGTGGCTCACAACAAGAGAAATTACAGTAAAACAAAGAAAGAAAGATGGCATGCACAATGAAGTGAAGGGTCTTGCTCTCCCTTGCCGAAGGCCTGAGTGAAGAGCCAGTTCTTCATGGCTCTTCTAAACAACAGCAGAGTGGGATCCATCTGCATCTTAGGAAGAATCTCATTCCAGAGGGCAGGCACTGCTACAGAGAAGGCTACTTCTAGGGTCCTGAGAAATGACACTTTAATCGAAGGAACCCAGTGGGTGCCAACCCTGCAGAATCAAATTGGTTGGGCAGATGTTACCAGAGACAGGTGGTCTCTTAAGTGACCAGGCCCTATGCCATATAGGGCTTTATAGTAACAACTAGCACTTTGAATCATACCCGGAAATAAATCAGCCACCAGGGCAGCTTGCGAAGCAGAGGTGTTACCTAGGCATACTGAGGCATGCCCATTATTGCTCATGCTGCTGTATTCTGGACCAGTTGAAGTTTCTGGGTGGTCTTCAAGGACAGCCCCATATAAAGAGCACTGCAGTAGCCAAGCTGTGAGGTGACTTGGGCATGAGTGACTGAAGGGCCCCCTGATCTAGGAAAGGGTGCAAATGGCACACCAAATGGAATTGTGCAAAGGTCTTCGTAGCCACAGCTGACGCTTGCTCTTCAAGCAGGAGCTGCAAGTCCAGGAAGACCCTCAAATTACGTATCAACTTTGAAGGGAGAAGTGCAAACCCATCCAAGGTCAAAGACAGAATATCTCCAGATCTGGGTGGTTCAAACACCCACAGCTACTTCGTCTTGGTAGGAATGAATTGGAGATGGTTCCTCCCAGCCCAAACTGGGACCAAACCTTGATAGCCTCACTTGGCTGGGCCAGGGTCAAATTATACAATTGGGTATCATCAGCATAGTGATTAAAGGTTCAAGTATATAAACCCCACTTCCAATATTCTGTAACTTAACCTTTCTTTCCTTTCAATCATTTGGCCTAATAAGAGTATGAAAATCCAGGTTTCTTAGATGAGAGTGGTTGGTAGGGGCTTGATGCTGAACTTAGAACGGTGACAGTAAATCATGGAAGACATTTTCAAACGTAGATGACAGTGAGAGGACCCAACTGTGTGTTCCTCTCCGCTTGCCAGAGGCTAAGAAAGCTCAGGCTATCATGCCACTTTCTCTAGCTATCCAGCGTGAAGGAAAACAAGAGGACTGATGTCCAGAATGGAGATCAACAGTAAAAATAGGTATCAAATCAAATTCATGCTTAAACGCAGTGCTGAAACACAAATGACCTTAACTGTCACGCTGCAGAAGGTGGTTTAGGTTTGAAACCTTAAATTTGAATGCATTTTGAGAGGGAAAGCGAGCAAGAATTAGTTGTTGGTTAACCGGCTTTCCAAAGCCCGAACTGATCCTATTTAGTAGTGTTCAGAGCTTTTGGCATTCTAGCCACCTTCCCAAGGCAAAAATAATTCACTCATTTACCATTTTTGCACTCCAGGCAGATAAATTTTCCATCAGGCTGCGAGCTCAACCCTAGGCATTCTGTATGGAAGACCCTGTAGCATTCACCTTCGCAGGATATTAGAGACTCACCCGTGCTTTCACAGATCTTAAAAGAAAAAAATAATAATATGAGCATCCAAATAAACTAATCAAGTTTTTAATTCAAGCAAGTAGAAAAGCTAAGTATTTTCACGTTGATCACTACTATTTTCAAGGTTCCTTTGCTATAGCAATGCTTTTCAGACATTGGTACATCTCACAATAAAAAAAGGGTCAAGACGCACTGATGGAAAAGCACCAACCATGGAACAAAAGCAGGGCTAGCCTCCTCAGTGTAACCCAAGGGTGTCATGTACTTTCTAATTGCTATTTCCAATTAAATTGTTCACTGCTTTTCACTCTTCTTAAGTACTGTATGTGGGAAAATTGGTATTCTTTGGCAGGCACATGGTAGCCCAGCTTCTCTAGGAGAAAGCCTGCAAGGAGGTGCTATGCATGTAGAAGTAATATTGTGATGCACAAAGATCTAGCAAATAGGTACAGCTAAAAAAAATTCAGTGGCATTCTAGTTGAACATAAAGGATAATTTAAGCCTCCAGACAAGAACCTCCTAATGACCAATCCAACCCAACCTGATAACACTTAACACGTTAAACCGAGGCAAATTCTTAAAGTTAGCGCAAATGTGCTTTGCTCTGAAAGAGAACTTTTAATTTCAGTACCTCAACTGCTGCAGTAAATTACAGTTACTGCTGTAATAAATGAGACTGCAATAAAAATGTGGAGTCTATACGCTTTATAAAATGTGTCAGGCTTTGTCTAAAAGAATCAAATATTTCAAGTCCACATTTTGTAGTAAATCTTCCGCTTCACAGTAAGGAAGCTCAGACAGATATCAAAGAGAGAGAGGAAACCTTTAAAAAAAACAAAACCTGATGGGATTCTTAATGGCTGATCTGGAGGGCTTTCTCTAACAGTAGCACTGCTGTGTTTAAGGCAGTGTTGTTCAAACTTGGCCACTTTAAGATGAGTGGACTTCAACTCCCAGAATTCCCCAGCCAGCCATTCTGGGAGTTGAAGTCCACTCATCTTAAAGTGGCCAAGTTTGGCTAACATTGGTTTAAGGTCAATCACTCTAGAGAAGACTACTGCAGGGGCATCAGATCACGGTACCTTCAAAGATACCAGCGTTTGCTGTGGTAATTAATACAACTTTTGGACAAGCTGAAAGATCCTACCCCAAATCAGTCTTTGAAGTAGCCTCAAAAGCTACACCTTGTACAGAATGAAGCAGCCAGGCTACTAGTTAGGGAGAACCATGACTACAGGATAGTACCTATATTGTGGTGCTGTAGTAACTGCCAGAAGGCTTCCAGGCCAAATTCAAAGTGGTGAGTTATCACGTCTAAAACCTATGGGATACAGCAGAGAATGCCTTGCCAAGGATGGTTTTGCAGGTCCTGTTCAAAAGCTAAGGGAGGGTCTGCACCAAATCCCAGACCCATGGGAGGTTAAGGGGGAAGGGGTTTGGACCAGGAGACAAGGTGGCTCCCGCTTTATGGAATTCACTCCTGCCAGAGAGATAATTGCCCCCACCTTGCATTCAGGAATTGCAATGGTATGTGGGAAAGACCTTGGGATACCAGACCAAGAGACGCTGCCTAGGGAATGGTCAGATGAGAGACAGCGTAGCCTGCAGCTGGATAGTGGGTGGGGAAGAGGCTTAGAAGAGACCTTCCCTAGTTTCTTGGGCTGTAAAGGAGATGGGGAGGGGGGGAAGTTGTACTTTCAGACTTGCAAGATTCTGTCAATGGAGCTTTACAATAAAGTAGAATTAGCTCATCTGGTTGTGATTCCTATTTGGTTTATCCCACGAGGTCGACATCAATCTTGCAAATCTGAAACTGCAATTCTCCCCCCGTCCCCTTTACAGCCCGAGAAACTAGGGAGGGTCCCTTCTCAGCCTCTTGCCCTACCCACTATCCAGCTGCAGGATATGCTGACTCTCATCTGATAAACCGGTCTGACTTCCCAAGGTCTTTCCCTCATACCATTACAGGAATGCCCTCAAAGCCTTTGGGCCCTAGAGTAGACTGGCACATAATTGTTTGCTATTTTCTCCTGTGTGTGATTGTTTCTTTTCTTTTTTAAAAAATCATGTTTATTAAGGGATTTTATACAATAATAAAAGCAAACCTACAATATAAATTTAAAGAAAAGAAAAAGAAGCAAGCAAGCAAGCAGAGCAAGTGAATAAGTAAAAAAAAGTAAATAGAGGAAAGATATAAAGGATCAGCTTCCAATCTTCTTTCTAGCAGTTATAAATAAATTTATCATCTATCCTCCCTTTTTAAGGTTACATCATAATTCCCTTCTTCCCATATTTTTCCCTTTCTAATAATCAAATCCATAAATCACCAGTTCATTTTTTTGTTTTCAGCAAAAAACGTGTATGACTGTTTGAAGTTTGACGACTTCCCCACCCATTACATGAAAAATGGAGAAGTGAACTAGAAGAAGGACCTTATCATCCTAACTATATATTTTTTGTTTTGTCCTTATATTTAAGCTCAGCAGAACAAAAAGACTTTGAAAATCTTTTCTTTTTCTGTTTGCAAACTCATTTTACTTTTAGTTTTGTGCTAATTGCTCACTTATTCTTACAAAAGAACTGACCCTCTAAACCAGTGTTTCTCAATCTCGGTGACTTGAAGATGTGTGGACTTCAACTCCCAGAATTCCCCAGCCAGCACGCACTTTCAAGTTGCCAAGTTTGAGAAACACTGCTCTAAACTGTGTGTGGGTGAACAAGGAAAGTCTGATCTGGGGGATGAAAGCTTGTCACTAGATGGCAGCAGATAATCAAGAGAGAGAACCATGGGAGTAACACACTGCTGGAAAAATTGAACCTAAATGATGATCTGAGCAGCCTGGCTGTGGCTGATAACTGCTGAGTAAGGCAATGTGTTGAGTTTGAGGGACTGCCCTCCCCATCCCTCTTCTTACTCTTCCAAATCCATAAGGACTTCCAGGAATGTCCTCCATTGTCGGGAAGGGGCAGGACGACTCTCTGGGTTAGTCAGAACCAGGATGATGGGGATAGCCAAGAAAAATCAGTGGATACCCAATGAGGGGGAGGATCATAAACATCCCGAAAACATCTCAGGAACATTTCTTGGAGAGCTTTTGGAAAAAGCTGGAGGTTAGTATTAACAAGCAGAGAGTCAGAGTGAATGTTAGCATTTGCTGTTATGGTCAGCTTCCCTTTCCTGCATTTAAGGGAGCAATTATTCTTCTTTCAATGCCATATAAGACATTTTCCTTATTGGTTGGTCAGTTTAGTTAAGGTTGATGCAGTCTATTTTCCTGTAGAAGGCATCTTAAAACTAACAGGTGAAAAAAAAAAAAACAACTAATTTTCTTTTCCAGTGAAGCAAGCAAGCAAGAAGAAATAAATGTGAAATATGGATAGGGATATAGTGAGTAAACCAGAGAAAGGATCAGTCCAATTCAGGTGGAGCCACGTCTTGAGTGAAGGCAAGAACGAAACAAGCAAACAAAAGATAAACAATCACACTTATTTCTGAGTAGACCTGAATGTGATTGGACTAATAAAACAACAAAACACCCTTAACAGAAAGAGTAATATGGGTAACCTGTAAAAGCACTTTAAACTAAGGGCTTTTAAGGAGACAAATGCAATTAAATGCAACCTACAGTGTTTTTATTATTATTTTACCTTTTGGTAAAGCTGATTCAACAGAAATTAAATAGCTAACCAGGAGTGTAGGCATAATTTATTTGCCGATTTACACTTTTCACTTACCTGACAAACAGTGTCTCTCTTACTTGCCCCAGAACCTCTTCTTGACAAACTGGAGTCCACAGACTGTACGTCGGAAGCATCAGCATCTGCTGTGGCTGATGGGCTATCGGACTGCTTTCCAAAACTACCCTAAAATAAAGCATGCACAGTCATTTTCATACTTCGTATTTTTTAGAAGAGCTCTATGAACAAGGGTCAATGTGAATCCTGTTAATTAACGGAGAAAACAGCTAATTACATAATATGCTATTTTCCGTGACATCTTTGAGCTTTGACTTAGGTCAATTAAAATCGTGTCCCTGGTGTAATCTCATCTACCCTAGGAAAGAAATTTGCAGAAAGATGAATACATTTCTTTAATAAGAAAATCTTCATCCTGTTTCAACAGACATACCTCTTTCTTTGCAAAATTCATTCTACCAATTTTGGAGGGGGGGGGCATAAGGGAAATATTTACTATGGTGTAATCACAAGGGGCATTTTCCAAAAATAAGTAGCCAGCTGAGCTTTTTTTTAAAAAAAAAATGCTAAGTTCTGCAGGCAGCATTTCTACACTCTTGAAAAAGTATCAAACAAATGATTTAAGTTGAAAGCATTCACTTCTATTTTGCCTTCTTTATATGCAGCTTCTGATCACTGTGTGATCGTGGTTTCACTTGGAAAGTTGAGTGAAAGTGTCATTATTACAAATGTCTACAGCGAGAAGTGGTGCGTAAGATCATAAGATACCTCTTTCACTGGAAGACTCATTCACAGACTCCTGTTGCCTTCTACAGAGTCCTCGCTTAACAGTAGGGACTGGCAATTCCTTTGCTAAGTGACATGATCATAAAGCGTGATGTCACATGACTACACTGACTTACGATGGCAGTTCCAGCACTCCCGGTTGTGGTTGTTAAGCAAATCCTGTGCAGTCATTAAGTATGACATCATGTGATCGCCATTTGTGACTTCCTGCCAGCTTCCCCATTGACTTTGCTTTCAGATGCTGGCAGTGAAAGTCACAAATGGCAATCACGTGACCATGGGATGCTGCGACCATCATAATTGTGAGCCAGTTACCAAGGGCTTGAATCGTGATCACATGGCTGTGGGGATGCTGCAATGGCCACAACTATGAGGACTTGTCATAAGTCCCCTTGTTCAGCACTGACATAAGTTGAACGAGTGGTCATTCAATGAGGACTATCTGTATTCTCTCTACCCTTCCTCTCACCCTGCTGGGTTTCCCCAAGAACTATTAATTTCCTTACAGCACTTCCCTGGGTTATTCTCAACTCTCTCCTAAATCTCTAGCCCAAACTGCTTTGCTGCTATCCCTTATCAGGCAGTGGTTGTCAATCACTTCCTTCTCTTCCTTTTTGGTGGGAGGATGTCCCCCCCAAAAGTCTCTCAGCAGCCCACCATCTTAAATTTCTCAGGCATCCTGGCTTCAGATGAGACCTAGAGGAATTCTGGGGAGTACAGCTGGTAAGCAGTTGCAGGCCACCATTTTATTTTCATGCACTTCTGCTATGAAGAATGAATTTTAAATATTAAGAAATAAAAAGCTTGTTATCATTAAAATATGGGGAAGTAAAGATAGAGACATTGCTGCCCACAGGCCTCCCCAAACTATTTTCTGTCTCTGCCAACCTGAAAATAAAATACTCTAAGGTTTCTCTTATTTGAATCTTTCTTGGCTATTTTCTGCCCCATAAAAATCAAGATTTTAAATGTAAAACAGAATTGTAAACAATGTAGAAAAATGCAGTATTTCAACCCTAACCCAACTGACATCATCAAGCCAGTGCAAACAGTGATCAGTTAACTGCTCTAAGTTTTCTGGGCCAGCTATTTCCATTTTGATTGTTTGTCCAATCTTCCTTTTGTAGTTATTGGCTTCAAAAGCTATAATTTTCATGTTTGTTCCCAGCCTTGTCTGCAGCAGGATTTTATGCAATTCCACTTTTTTCAGTATTTTGTTTTTTCAATGCAGAGAAAAGACCACCAAACAGTAAGACCTTGAATGTAGAATTCCATAGATCTCAAGGAAGGAACAGTAATGTGACCCATCTACACTTAAATCAACATCGTTTGCACTTGCCTGATAACAACAACCTGTTTATTGTCAAAATGTTGCATTTTTGTACATTATTTACAATTGTCACATTGTTTACAATTGTGTTTGCAAAAAAAACATATTCAAAGAAGTCCACTTCAAAGCCGTGGCCCATGAAGAAATACCAACCATTTACCTGTAAATCATTAAGTCCTCTTGAATCAGAATCAGAGGTATCTCTGTAAGCTGAGTTAGCCAATTCTACATCTGTGGAGGCACGACTTCTTTTCTTTAGAGGTTTACAAGAATCTGAAATCTCACTGGCACCTTAACACAATACACTAGAATTAATCCTAAAATATCTCTCAGATATATAAACTACTGAAAGAAAGTTAAGATCAATGCCAAGAAAACTGGCCAAATTGCATACTTGATTTAAAAGCTTTTAAAATGTACAACTCTTCTAGTTTTTTGTAAGAGTAAACTAATCTACCATTTTAAAAGCAGGACTTTTCCAATGCAACAAAGCTATTAGCTGTTGGTAGGGGATATACAATATATCTTCTGTTCATTTATATCTTATTTTCCCTATTAAAATCCTCCCAAGGCAACTTACAATATAAGAACTAAAAGCAATCACACAATTAAAAACACACTGGAATAAACTATTTCAAAAACAGAGTCCAAAAGCCAGAATTGGGACAGTCATGCTTAATCATAATATACTTTTTATAGCATTTTTTAAAAGGCTGAAGAGCCAAGCATGCACTGATCTGTGGTTTGTTGGGATGTTTCATTTTGATACACTTAGTGCTCCTTATCCCTTTGTGTATATAAAATGCAATTTCAGGAGCAATTAGTCCTGAATAGACATTATTAAACTAACATGAAATCAAACATCCTTCTATACCTAGATCTGAATGGTGTTATTATGGCATCTTGGAGGAGGCAAACAGAAATGCTTTGTGTCAGTGATGACAGAAATCTGGAGGAAGGAGGTAGAAACAAAACTTTCTCCTAGCTCTTCCCATCATAGCCTATATTTGGACAGGATGTATGACAAAGGCTGGAATCCAAAGAACTACTTGAAGCAGACCTGAAGACCAGCCCCTCTACCCTTGAATCTGAAGCTCCACATGAGATCATAAATTACTTACAACTAGAGTGGAAGAACCCTAAGCCTACAGTCTTTCAGAAGAAATGAAATCTGTTGTGTAGCCAACAATCCACTTGTTCCACACCAAAGGCTAGGACTCACTCTAGTCATCATTCTTGATGGAGATTAAGAGAGGATGTTTTGTGGTTTCATTTTGAACATTTTCAAGCCTGCTTGGTCAGAGATTCTGCTTCACTGCCTTTTGATATGACCTGGTTATTGAGGGGTAGCAGTTATAGAGATCAGCAAGCAAGAAACTCTTTGATCTATGGCAGGATTTCTCAACCTTGGCAACCTTCAGATGGGTGGACTTCAACTCCCAGAATTTCCCAGCCAGCAAGGCTGGCTGAGGAATTCTGGGAGTTGAAGTCCACCCACCTGAAAGCTGCCAAGGTTGAGAAACACTGATCTATGGTATTAATGAAGAAAAACATGTTTTGAGATGAGGACAGAAGTCTAAGAACCCCAACCCAATTTTCCTAGTAACCATTTCAATTCTCTCTCAAGAGCATGACAATAAACTATACTTATTAGGCACTATATCAAGAATATTAATTTATAAGTCTGTCAGGAAGCCTTAAAGACTGAGGAACAAGATATCAATGCTTTAAACAACAAGAAATAAAGCCACACTCACCTTTTTGTAATCCAGTCTTCACTGCTGCCTGTGGGGCTGTCTCTACCTGTTTAGACAGGAAAATGAGTAGTTAATAGAGGAATTTCTTGTTCCCTAGTACAAAGGAGGAAATGTATATTCAGTGCAAGCAGTTAGTATATAAGGAATCACATTTAAGGTTTGTTTCCCCCACCCGCAACCCAAATATATACCTCTCTTTTACGAATTTAATTGAGACTGCCTTCCCTAAACAAGATGACAAATCAGGTCTCTGTTTACTTCAAATCATTCAACGTGTGTATGAAGTGACTGGAAGGCTTTATTTTTGTCCAAGAATCAATTAAGGGGGTGGGGTAGGGTGAGCTACCAAGACCTGTGCTAGAGGAAAAAAAAAAAATCACGATAGCTACAAAAGGAGAGAGAAGCAGGACACTCAAGTTCCAAATGACATTTAACTTACGGCCCCGTTTTAAAGCAAGTGCTTCTGAGGACATGGGCTATTCCTCTGTATAGAGTGCTGCAAAGGCAGAAGGGAGAAGGAAGCCGAGCAAATGCATTGCAGGCCTCTATACAGCTGGAAGCAACGTCGACACAGCGCTTGGGTAGACAAGTTGGTGACCTTGCGAAAACACTTCCAGGCCCTTGTATTCAGTGTCTTGGATCTTACATTGAGAGGTGGTTTTCTGCAGGGGAACACCCAAGTTGTGAATTTGGTAGTGGCAAGCAGCTTCTTTGCTAAAAGTCTTGCTTTTAGGCTAAAAACCGTAATTTGAAAATAAAAGAAAATAAAGTTTCTCCATAATGTGATTACATATGCAGGTTAAGAAACACATCTCAAATATTTATTAAGGATTATTCTATAATTTTTGAAAAATATTTTATTTCATTGTACAATGGATAAAAACATACAATAGAAGGATTTGTATAGGATACAATTGATAATACAAATATAAAATCTAGACAATCACTTGTATTTTGCTACCACTCACTTGTAACAGAATTAACATTGTGTTTCTCAGTTGAAATTAATATTCCAGTTATAATTTTAAAATTGAAAGGAAACAGAATTTGGAAAGTCACTGATATGAACAAATATGGTTGTTGAATCCTAAAATATCAGTATGCCTTTCTGAACATATAACATATTCAAGCTTATGCAGTACAGTGCTTCTCTGATCAATAAGCTTTCCTATATGTTTTCCTGAAAAACACCAGTACAATATACTATGTTGATTTAATTAGTTACATAGTATAAAGCAAGCAAAGATTACTTGGGGAATGAGTTTTTTTTTTTTAAATGTGCTGAAATCTTCTTCCTTTAAATTCACAATTTTGGAAATCCAATCCAGGAAGAGTTGTGCAGGAATAGCAAAGCCAAGCTAAAAGCTGGAATAACGAACTGGTATTTAAATCGAAAACTTTTAGCTTCATAGTGAACAGCAACAACAAAAACGAAAACAAAAACATATGAAACATGTTTAACGTTTATTAGAAGTTGCCATCTTTTCAAATGATTTGGGCTGCGTTAGGGAAATGTGCTATACTTTGTATTCCAAAATGAATTCCCTTTAAATTTTAAAAAAGGAGCATACCAAAATGGTTGAAGGAAACCAAAATGTAATAACCTTCTCGAAACATGCATAATCCACAGACAGCATGGGTGGCACAATGATGCAACTTGCCTATTCTTCTCCACTTGCAACTGGCTATTTCAAAAAGCAATGTACACCTTGGAGGTCCATATCCAAAAGGAATACCCTGTACATGTTGGTTCTTCTTACGAGACAAAAAGCACCCCATAGTTATGCTCCTTCCTGCTCGCTATCAGCAGGAAGGCGTCTGCCTTCAAAACATGACCATGCTTAGGACCACTTTTCAAGAGTATCTAATCCGTCTGACTTTCTTGGAAAGCAAAAAGGACAACAAAAACAAAGCCACAAATGTAAGCCTCCATATACTTCAGCAGCTATACTAAGATGCAAACAAAGTGGATAGCGAATCCAGAGAACTCACTGAAACGTAACATCACACCGCTTGTAACAGAAACAAGGATCAAATTCATGAGGAGGTCTATGTTCTCATGTCTCCAAAGTATGAATGATGCTGTCAGTGGAAACTAGTTGACCAGCAGTGTTTATTAAGGGATGGATCTCAAGAAGGAGAGTCCAAAAAAAATAAAAAACACCAGTTGAAAAAAAAATAGAGAGGGTAGGTGGGGTTTAAATAAAAAGGCATCAATATAAAAGTGACAACAGGTATGACTACAATATATTTTAACTCTCTACATGGAGGAAGCCAACCTGCTCCTTTTTGATCTTCTTCTTTGGCACAACCTCAGTGGATTTCTCAGACTCTGAGCGAGTTCGTATTGATCTTCTCTGTTGCTTCTTTTCTACAGAACCTGAGGGAAGAGAATGGTTTCCATTACAGGAGTCTCTCTCTGTCTCTTTCCTCAATGAGGGATGATGTTCAATAGCAAAGTCCTGATTTCTCTATATTCTTCTTTGAGTGCATAGACTTTAATCTGCCAGCTGACGTTCTGGCTGCAGGCAATACATCTCAGTGCTTCAGGCAGAGTCCTGAGTTCGGGAAAAGACCAGCTTTAATATGAAGATAAAGGGGAATTCTAGAATTCAAATTATTAGGGAGGGGCTCACATTCAGAACTTTTAAAATCAACTCCATCAAAGATGTTAATATGTTCTGAATTTCATTTCTATTTGCCTATCCAGGAGGCATATCTTCATGTTATCTAAATAGCCAATTCACTCAAAATGTCTTAAACAATTCTTAGTGTCTAACTTATATTAAAAACCTTGCAGGAAATAAAGAGGAAATGCTGCATAGTAACAGACTAACTCCAAAGAAGTTTACTGACAATTCTTAATTTTAGCATACCTAAAATGTATGTGCTTCAGGCCAAACATCTACTTCATATAATATAGGATGGAGCTTTCATAGCAAAAATGAGGATCCTAACCTTTATGGCAGTGTTTCTCAACCTTGGCAACTTTAAGATGCGTGGGCTTCAACTCCCAGAATTCCCCAGTCAGCCATGCTGGCTGGGGAATTTTGGGAGTTGAAGCCCACACATCTTAAAGTTGCCAAGGTTGAGAAACAGTGCTTTAGGGAATTCATATGGATTGGAGAATTTTCTTACCTGCAAATTCTCCCTAAACCTATTCATCAGATAGTGGTCCTTTCCATTTATTACGAAGGCAGAAGAAAGACTGGGTCAAGGAAGGAAGTTGGAGGGTGCTACTTAATGCAGCCTTGAGTCTTTCTTCTAAAAGAATATGCCTCTTACACCACATTAATGTGTAGACCACTAGATTCTTCTAGTGATAAGTCATGAAAACAGTACCTTGGAAACTTATTAATTACAAACACCTTGACAATCGAATTTTGTCAACACTCTTAACCCACCCTGGTACACCAAAGGTTTCCTCCTCCCACCCTCCAAAAATCAGTGTCACAAAAGAAACACCCAGTTAATTGGGACTCTCTCTCTCTTTGCATTACTCAACCATAAATGACTAGAAGTAGCTTCAGAATACAGCTGTGTGCCCTCGAGCAACTCCTGTTCATTTAAGAAAATGCTGGTCTGAGTATGCTGCAAATGAATAAGCTTCAGATGAGTCTTTCTCATCTACAATTTCAGATTAAAACTAGATTCACTTCATTTAAAACGAAAGAGAGAGGGAAGGTGACACATGAAACAGATGATCACATGGGACTCCAAGCAGGAGGTGATTTGAGGGAGCTCTTCCATTTGCAAAAAGGTCAGCCCATGTTTGCTTCTTCCATTTGTCCATGTTAACTGAGGAACAGGCAATTCCCTCCTCTGGATGGATATGCAGAAACATTGCTGATAGTTATTTCTTCCCCGCAGGAAGCAAATACAATTAATTGCAATTTTTGTGTGTGTTTGAGGACTGAAGTTAAATTCTTAGCATTTTTAGTTCAAAAGTGGGCGCTGATTATCGATAAATAATCAAAGCACAGGAGACAATCTCTAGTAGGCTATTTTTACAATCTGGACTGAGCTATTTTCTAATTACTGCTTTCCTTTATGTTTCTGCAGCTGCAGTTCTAAATGAAGTATTAAATAAAAAATAAAAGAGGATTGGAGTCTCTTGATATCTCAAAACCGCCCTACCTCAAAAGGGAGGAGGAAATTTATTATTGTGTAAGCTTTTGTCAGTGTGGAAACAATTCATCAGATGCACCTTGAACAAAAGCTCACAGTGTAATAAACAGAAGATAGTTTAAGGTGTTATAAGATATTTCATAATTTTTCCTGTAATAGAGTAGTATAACAGCATCCCTGGAAACCTGCTACTTCACAGGATGATTGTCCTACATTCTTTGAAGGAAGTCTATGATATAATTCTGCAAATTTTAAAATGTGTATTCCATCAATTTAAAGACTTGTGGCTAAAATCCCCAATTCTTTAAACTGTGGCCAGACAATAAATTTGAAAGCCTATTGCACCCGCTTCACTCTGCTGTTTACATGAGCAACAACTCTACTGCAGTTCATCTATACTTATGATGTGGTGCCAAATCTCATTCTAGTCAAGCTCAACTTCTAATAACTCCATGGACCACAGTAGAGAATTGGCTTGCCATGGTCTTCTTCAGAGACCTTTTTCAGACTACCCAGTCTAGCCTTTGGCCCTGGGTTTCCCTCATGGTCTTCTAGTCCATATCAACCAGGTGAGACCCAGCTTAGCAATCAACCAAGGTCAGCTGGAGCCTTTTCTTTAGTTTTCATCTAATACTGTGCCCTTGGAAAACTGCTGATTTATTTGGCCTTAAACCAGGAGCCACAAACTTTACCTACTTGCCAACCCAGAAGATGTTTCTGGAGAGGGTGCACTTTGTAATGAGGCTCTCTCATTTCGCTGGATGGAGACAGAAGTGACTTTGTCATGCCCCTTGATGATTATTTCTGGTTTGTTTCCTATACCCTATTACAAATGAAAAGAAAAAGTTTTGAGTATTTCTAAATTATGGTCTCTATAAAAAAAAAGATTTTTTAAAAAAATGTTTAGCACAGTTACATGTACACATGCACACACACATTCAGAATGGTGTGCATAAAACAAAGACATCCATAAAATGTGAAGAAAATCCTGATTCTTTTGAAGAGAGGAGATTCTTGAAGTGTAAAACAACACTGAAAGGGAATGCTGAAGATCTTCCCCTTAAATTCTTGGGGATGAGGTTTCAAGCAGTTCTCCCATCCACCCCAAACAGCATCCTAGCATTTCCAATGCTACCACATACGAGGCACCTCTCTGCCTGGCTTCCTTGCCTGAATTTTCATGATATTCTAGGAGAAGTACTCTGGACTTTGAATATTAAGAAAGAAGAAACAAAAACAAGGACATAAAAGAAAGATGATGACAAGGAGGATGGAAGCTAAAATAAAGACTGTTAAGTGCAAATGGACAGGGGGATTCAAGACTGAAAAGACTTGAAAGAGTGAATGAGCTCATAAGCCTGAGACTGGGAAAGAAAGGGGGGCCCTCCACCAACTGCAAAAATATAAGCCTAGACATTATAGGAAATTGTTTTTGTTTGCTCAAAAGCCCGCTGAGATGGTAGACAGATAGCTCCACGTATGTGCATGCAAGGACAATACGTACATACAATGTGTAAGAAAATACTCATGCATACTAGAGAGTGCATATAGTAGCATTAGAATATAATACATCTGTGGTATCCTTGAAGCAATTTTCCAACTCTTCTTGCACTTGGGGTCATCCATCCAGATGATTACAGAATTCCATACATATATATACACATACACACACAAGTTTTTTTTTAACTTTCCAAACACTTTCCCACCTGGGAAAACTCATACCTATGACCATACAAAACAGCAGAACAGGTTAATTTAACCTGAGAAAGCATAACAGTTAGTTGTGATTTAACATTAAAGAAGCTGATCTAAATTCTCCTGGCTTTGCAAATTACTCTTCTGAAATAGGAATGTGTTAACAGATTGGCCAAAGACAGCAGGTAAAGAATTCTGCTCTAATTACCATGGTTTTTCAGTGAATAGTTGTCCACACATATTTACTCAAAAGAAGACAATAATAGTACCTGATAAACAATTAAACAGGGCGCAGGGACAAAGTTGCCATCTCTCTGGATGCTATCTAGCAACTCATACTGAACAGTGACCAATTTCACATGACATATTATTCCTGGAAGCAAGTACCCTGAATATAGGATGAGTGAATGTTATTCTTGACATGTTAGGGTCAAAGTACTTCACACCAAAATTTTATACTGTTTGCAATCTGAAAGTGCACAGGTAAGAAAGCTGTTGAAAAATGCTCATCTCACAGTAAATTCTACTAAACTCAGTGGGACTTACTTCCAAGTAGTTATTAGTAGGATTGCAATGTAAAATCTTGTGATTCTTTGCACAAATATTCCTTAAGAGAAATGTCTGTTTCTTTACCTTTGTAGAGTAAACAAACTGATCAATGAATTTTCCATTCCCAGCAGCATTCTGAAGAGCAAAAACTTGTTCAATTTTAACAACTGGAGACATATTACATTTTTGAAGGTCCAATGTTCCCTTGTGCATGGTTATTGACGCTGGTAAGGACTTTCTAGCCGCAGCAGTTTTCCACTGTATTTTCACAGGAGGAGCTTCTTCATCTGCACTAGACTGTCTCCTCTGACTATGCCTCCGGACCTCAGTTTTGGGTGGGGAAGGTGAGGCCAAAACATCACTGGTCTGTTCTGGCTGAGAGTTTGGCGATGGTTTAATTTTGCGATTCTTTTTAGCCTCTGTCTTAGGCATGACAGTCCTTTTGGCTTTTGATGACACCTCCTCTGGCTCTTTATCTACGTAGATGAATGTGTACTGTTCTATCCTCTCTTCCCGAGTCATTTTTAGTGCTTTCTCAGCATGGGCAATGCCAATATCCCACTGTGCACGTTCTCTCTGCGGCCTTGGTTTGCGAATCTTAGGAGGGAAAAAGACAGGTTTTGCATTTATTCATTCCCACTTACAAAACATGCCCAACTGATAACACATTTGGCTTCAGTTACCATGTCAAAGCTTTCCAGAGAGACAGCCATGTCAGCCTGTTGCAGCAAAATTTATGAGAATCTGTCAGCTTAAAGCAGCTTATTTAAAGCATCACTCCCTTCTCAACATCTGACTATGGTACAGATTCTGAATTTTTCTTGGCTAACAACATAGCCAGACTACTTCATGGAGGAAAAAAAAAGGAACACATTAACAAAAAAGGTCAACAGAGTTCAAAATGTTTTGCAAGCTAATACTAGTTGGCATAAAGTGTTAAGGCCACCCAAAGTTTATTGTGCTTCCCTCATATTACTTGACAATTCAAGTAATCTGAACAATTGCATAATTATTCTTTGATAACGTCTAGAGTAGGCTTGGACAACTATAGAGACACATTATTTAACAGAAGAGCAACCAGCAATGTTGCTGATAAGTAAACAGCCTAAGTTTTCAAACAACTTTTTTTGGCCTACAGTATTTTCTTCCATGTTATTGAACAAGGCATGTTGTATTTTTAAATATTAAGCCTATCAAAATCTTACTATAATAACTTTATTTGATTTCCCATGGAGGATGTGCCATCATTGTTCAATAGACTGCTGTCAAATTGCAGCAGCGTGATTCTACATGTTCTACAGAAGGCTACAGGCTGCTCACTTCTACTCCAGATTCAAGCGTGTACTTTTCAACCAGCTCATAATAAAAACAGAAGAATTAGGCCAGGTCTTCATCCAGTCTAGTGCTTTATGTCATACATTGCCCAATCAGATACATCCAGGGAGCTCAGAAGCAGGGACAAGATGGCAACAGGTCTCTCCCACTATTACTTCCAAAGAGCTGGTGCTTAAGGAATGCTTCGTGTGATTCAGGAAGCAGTATACAACCATCAGGAAAAGTGGACATTGGCAGCATGATTGTCCAAAGATCTGCCTATTCCTCATTTAAAACTATCTAAATAGGTGGCCTTTACCACCTCTGATGGCCACAAATTCCACATTTTAACTATGCATTGGGTAAAGGCTTCTCTCAGTCCTGAATCTCCTGGTGTTTAAAGCCAATGGATGACACATTTTTCAACACCACCACTGATTATATACATCTATATCATGTCCCCCTTTACCTGTCTCTGCTGCAAGAAGCCAATTTGCTGTAATCATTCCTCATATTTCTATTTCTACAATATGCTTTTTGTCATGTGACAACCAGAACTTTACAAAGTATTCCATCCATGGTGTCACTATGCATTTATGTACAGGTGTTACTATACTGGTACCTCAAACAACATATTAATAGTACACACATGTATGTTACTGTTCTTATTCCTAACATCCTAGCTTGGTTGGAGGATCTACCTGTTTTGCACTGTGCTTTCTTCAATTCACACAGCAACAATATGACTCTGCTCAGAGTCATATGTAAGTGGCTACATAAATTGAAATAATAGAACAAACAAATAAATAAATGTTATCAAGGCATGATGCAACAAGGAGTTTTATTTTTCACCTAGCTCATCACAGAGCCTGACACTGATTGGGGCTGAGAGGGAATAAGTGTCCCAAGGTCACCCAGCTGGTATCTGTGCCTACTAGAGGACTAGAACCTGGGTTTCCCCACACCTAGTCTAGTACCTTAACCACTAGATCACACTGGCTCTCAAACACTTACCGTATTTTTCCGTCTATTAGAAT